ATATAAATTGGTATTTAGTACGTAGCTAAATACTGATCGATCTATCAATCTAACAATTAACAAACTGTACTGTGCTGAGGAATATAACAAACAACAGCAAGCCACAAGGGTCAATTAGAAAAAGCTACTTCTGCGATTCTTTGAACAGACAGAAAATTATGTTGACCATCATAATGAAAATCAAGAAACACTGTGCGCCTGGTGGCAATAAAGTTTGAAAAAGCTATTTATAGCATACGGGTCACAGTCAAGGTCACAAGGTCATTGATCTTGGTGTCATTTGAAAGAACTTAATTAGTGGAGTAAGCATACTAAATTTGAAGTCTCTATCTCTTATAGTTCAAAATTAATGGCAGAGGATCAAAATGGATATTTTTTGCATATTGGTCACAGTTAAGGTCAAATTGCCATTGACCTTGGTGTTAACTGAAAGAGGTTTATTAGTGAAGGGTGCATACCAAATATGAATTCTCCATCTTTTATGACTCAAAAGTTATGTCGAAGTATCAAAAAATCTATTTTAAGTATATGGTCACAGTCAAGGTCTCAAGGTCATTGACCTTGGTGTTATTTGAAAGAGGTTAATTAATGAAGGGTGCATACATAATACAAGTTCTGTATCTTTTATGGCTCAAGATTTATGTCCAAGATTCGAAAAATCTATTTTAAGGATATGGGTCACAGCCAAGGTTTCAAGGTCATTGACCTTCAGGTGTCTTTTGAGAAAGCTTAATTAGTGAATTATGCATAGTAAATATAAAGTCTCTATCTTTCATTAATTTTAAGTTATGATGAATATTCGAAAAAGCTATTTTTAGCATATAGGTCAAAGTCAAGGTCACAAGTTCATTGACCTTGATGTCATTTGAAAGAACTTAAATAGTGAAGTAGACATACCAAATATGAAATCTTTATCTCTCATTGGTTCAAAAGTAATGGTGAAGGTTAAGTTTACAAACAAACAGACAGGACAAAAACAATATGTACCCCGATCTATCGAGACAGGCGTATAAAAAATGTTTATAGAAACAATATCAATATGCCACTGTGAAAATGTCCAGCAACTCTGCATTAATAATTTTCAAATAACATGCTTTAATTCATCTTTCCTGCTACTCTAGGATATATAAACATACAAGTCAAGTATGCATGCATCACAGGCACTAATTGAAACACATATAATTTTTCCAATTTTATCTCCATTGAATCATTCATTTCAAAAAGAATATTTTTTGACTCACCAAGTCTGAATTCAAACAGAGTACACATTCTTATATAATTCTGCTTAAATTCTTTTTTCTAGTCATTCCACACTATGCAGTCTTACTACTCATTTTGACTAATCCCACTGTACACAATTTACAGCTCGAATCAACTTGATACAAGTCAGTAATGAAGCAAAACATGCTTGCCTTTGAATTCCCTCCACTTTATTTAAAAAGAGGAAGTAAATGACTGAGCATGCTCAACAAATGGCTCATGGGTAATCCTAGAAGTTGCCAGAAACTTTTTTTCTGGCAGTATTGCCAGAATGTCACCGGAAGTTGTTGCAGCTATTTTCATTTTTTCTCGCAGTATTGCCAGAATGTCACCAGAAGTTGTTGCCGCTAGCGGTGATATTTCACTAACCCAAAAAGCTTGTTTCTGGTGACAAAAATGTGTTGCCGCAATGTTGCCGCAATATAGCAGCAATATTGCCGCAATAATTTTACTTTGGTAAGGGAGTCAACACCGGTGTAGACAGACGTATGCTATACAGCATTCAGTAGCGACAAAAATAACTTCTTCTATATTGCAAGAAATGGTCAGTGCAGTATACAAACAAAGACAAATACACGTAAGTGATGTAACTGCAATAAAATGTAAACAAAAGTAATGGAAGATAACCAGCACTAATACGGGTCGCCATTCCACGCTAATAACCATGACAATACAGCAGTCAGGTGACATGAATGCAAAGAGTATGTACCCTGGTGCTAATATCATAGATAGTAACAATATTCAAAATGCCGTATGTCTATTTACTACTAAGTCGTGTTCAGCTTTAATACTAGAATTGAACAACATGAAAACTTTCAAAATTGATCATCGCTTATAATTATGGCTTTTGAAATTGATCGAGGACACAAAGCGTCAGAATTTTCAACAACAAAAAAAATGTGGCTAGCGAATGTCATGCGGAAATTGAAGGTACAGTTTGCGTTCATTTTATTATGGGAAAACAGGACCAACCAAAGCGTACAGAAATGTTCATTATGCAGAGTACACTAAAATTTCATTTCCTTGCTATGGAATTCATAAAATTGATCTTAATCAAAGATTCAAATCGGTATGCGCATATTGATAGTCAACCAATTATCAGCGACAATCTTCACATAAATAATCATAACTCAATACAAAATACATCAACCACATAGTAACAGTTATATCTCAGCGAAGGACCCTATTATTATTTATAAGTGAATAAATTAATTAGGGTGAAAAGAAATGGGACCCCACCTGAAATCTTAAGTATTAAACTTTTACAGGAATCTTACTCTTAATGGAAAAATTTTATAAGGGAATTTTAATTGTATAGAATTATTTCCTGGCGTTTTAGAATTTATTTGACAGAGAAGAAAAATGTTTTTATTTTACAAAATTTTACCTTGGAGCTTACTCAAATTACAAACAGCGGTAACAGGATGGAAAACTGAAACCCATTTATTCAAAGATTACATTGAAATACTAATAATAACTTTTAATTTTAGCAAAATAAATAGTAATAGTGAAATAAACTTAGTTTAATAAAGCTAAAAGAAGAATTCACTTCGATCACAGACAATTTCAAGGTCATTATAAACCCCTGATTACAAGTAAATTATTTAATAAAATGAAATAAATGAAATCAAACATCTCAAAAAGCAAGTCTAAATTAAGTTATTTAAGTTAAATGTCTAATAATCCCTAAATTATTTTTGAAACTGTTATTTATATATTGAATCAAGAAAAAATTAGAAATTACATATGATAATTAATTAATTTTAGCAAACTTAAATTACTCTCACAAATGCAGTGGCTAAATAACAGTGTGTGCATGAGTTGAGATATTTAGCCACTAGCCTTCATGAGAAAATTGTGAATAAAAAGGGGGCATTATTTCATCTTAACAATTAATTAGGTACTCAGAAAGTTTTCAATGTGTTTAAAAGAATTACACTTTAGTTACAAAAAAAGTAATCCCATTTAAACTTTAACAAATCTGTGGAAGGAGGGGGGATGCATTTTAAGTCCTACTTAATAAACTAAATAGTAAGTACTTTACAATTAACAGGGCTTATATGAGATATACATAAAATGAATGCATAGTACAAAATGACTTATTAAGTACAAATGTCAAACAAATACTGAACCCATCATGCACACAAAGAAAAATTGAAAAAGAAACCCTAACTCTAGATTTTACTTCTTTGTATGATTTTATTGAATTTAATTGCTATTTTAGAAAATTTAAATTATCTAAATTACATGAATAATTTTAATTTTACCACATGAGAAATTAAAATTAATGGAAAATAAATTTCACTCTATTTAATCAATGGAAACAAGAAAAAGGAAAGACTTGGTGTTAAGAAATAAATTCAAGTTTTAAGAATAATGACTTAATTTTTTACGTTTAAGGAAAATTTAAACCAAATCGCTTATTTGAAGTTTGAAAAATATATAAACCTAGTCACTCAATCAGTCAAGTCTTTGTAATTGTATAATTTAATCAAATTTTTGTTCAAATTATTTTATGTTTAAATTTTACTCGAGTGATGAAATTTATAATTTAATTAACCTGTTGTTTAATTATTTAATGTTTTAGTTAGGAAAATTTATAACCCCTTGTTTAATAGTTTAACGTTTAAATTTTACTTTAGTTAGGGACATTTATGATTTAATTAACCTGTTGTTTAATTATTTTTAATTCCTGATTTCACTTTAGTTAGAAAAAAAATATAATTTAATTAACCTCATGTTGTTTAATTATTTTATGTTTTAATTTTACCTTGGTTAGGAAAATTTATAATTTAATTAATACTTTAGTTAGGAAAATTTATAATTTATTTATTTATTTTTAAATTTTAATTTTATCAACTAAATTAAAATCTCATCATTTAGTTACTCTCCTGAATTTCTACATCTAAATAACGGTGTGTGCTTGCATTGAGATATTTAGATGTAGTATCCATGAGAAATTAAGAACAAATTTAAACTTATTTTAACTCTAGAAATGGTCTTACAATTAATTAAGGAAAATTTTTTAAAAGGGGGTATATTTATGTTATTAACTAAAAATTAATTTAAATCCTGAATTATTATGCCTGACTTATTCCTAGAAGAAAATTACAATGATTTAGGAGAAAATCAAATATTTTTTAAGTTTTATCCTTTGGAAATTGAAATTCATTAAGGGGAAGAGAATTTAGTAATATTCATACAAAAAATAATTTAGAGAAAAATCAATCCTATTTAAATTTTAGTTTTATACACGAGAAACTTAGAGAAAAGAGGGGATTTAAATTAGAGAAGAGAAAATAGGGAAAATAAGACCACCTACTAAAGTGGCCTCCACATTCCTAAACAAATGCCACACCACCCCTTCTCCTAACGCTGCAAAGCCTCGCCTCAGAGGGTCCCTCATAGGTGATGGCTGCCTCACAGGTGATGGCTGCTCAGGAGGGATCTCTGCCACTGGTGACCCGACGCTAGACAGCCGAGGATGCCCCACAACAACCTGAGGAGATGGCAGTTCCACCTCCTCAGTCTGTCCAGCCTCCTCCTCAACTAGAACCTGAGCAGGCTGAGGCGATGGCAGAGCCATCTCCACAGTCTGGTCAAATTCTGGCCAAGGAAGGGCTATCACAGGCTCAGGAGACAACAGACACACTTCCTCAAGCTGTACAAGCTCTACCTCTGGATTGGCCATCACAGGTTGAGGAGATGACACAGTCACCTCTTCAGCCTGCCTTAGCTTTTCCACAGGCAGCTCCTGTAAAGCCTCAGGAAGAGGCAGCACTGCAACCTTCTCAGGATGATGAGGAGCATCATCAGCCATCACCATCGGCTTCACCCTGGACCTTCGCACCTAAAAAAAAAAAAAAAAAAAGACAAATCAAAAACAGAAATAAGTAATGGTCACTATTCATAGCTAACCAGAAGTCCCATTTGGTCATATTTTGCTTTTTTTAACTAAATAAAAACATTAAACTTTATTGAGGAAATGTAGATTGATGTATTACCATCTTTATATTTTAAACTCATCAAATAAAAAATCACTGTATCATATTAAGGAAACATCAACTGTTAAGGTACAGAGTGCAGGGCTGGTATATGATCCAGAAATATTCCCACTCTAAGAAAAATATCCTGCAAAATAACATAGTTTTTGAAAATGTGAAAAAGGGAAACTTAGCATTTTGAGGTTATAAATAAAACAAGCAAATTCAAGGAATTGTGGTCCCCCGCTTTCGGTGTAATTGTGGGTGAGATGTCATTTTTTATGACATATTTTGTGTAATATGAACACCCTGCCATATGTCATTTATTTAGAAATCATCACTGAACCCAAGGTCAAGGTCAAAGGGTTAAAGTTCTTGGTATCCAAAGCTCTAGCCCTTACCATTCAAAAGTTATAGTCAAGGTTAAAGTTTTTTATTAGTACAAAAAATGTCCAAGGTCAAGGTCAAAAGGTCAAAATTGTTGATATCAAATGAAAGGTCTTGCCAAAAAGAATGCATATATGAAATATGAAAGTCCCAGTATCTACTGTTCCAAAGTTGTGGCCAAGGTCAAAGGTTTTGAAAAGTAAGCCAAACTCCAAGGTCAAGGTCAAAGGATCAAAGTTCTTGGTATTTAATGAAAGGTCTTTTCAAAAGGATTACATATATGAAGTATGTAATCCTTGGCCCTTACCATTCAAAAGTTATAGTCAAGGTTAAAGTTTTTTATTAGTACAAAAAATGTCCAAGGTCAAGGTCAAAAGGTCAAAATTGTTGATATCAAATGAAAGGTCTTGCCAAAAAGAATGCATATGTGAAATATGAAAGTCCCAGTATCTACTGTTCCAAAGTTGTGGCCAAGGTCAAAGTTTTTGAAAAGTAGGTAAAACTCCAAGGTCAAGGTCAAAGGATCAAAGTTCTTGGTATTTATTGAAAGGTCTTTTCACAAGGATTACATATGTCAAGTATGAAAGCCCTAGCCTCTACCATTCAAAAGTTTTGGTCAAGGTTAAAGTTTTTTCATATGTACATAATTTAATTCTGGTTGTAACACTGTGTTTGATTGGATAAAAAATTTACTTCATATCGTATAAAATGGGTTGCCTACGTCATAATGACTTACGTCAAAAACGTATCAATCCGCCTGACGTTATATTCAAATTTTGTACAAATTTAAGTCATTTTGTTTGAACAATCATCTTTTTTTCTTACATCAAATGAATGAAAATTAAATTATAAGCAATGAATGTAATAGCTACCCATTTAAGGGGGCCGACTATAGTTTTATTGTGTGAAAACTACAATAGCGAAACTCTTCATTTTTATACCATATATAACTTACATTAACTGCAAAGTTTGGGGGAAATCTACCGTCCAGGTATTTTTGAGGGACCGTCTCAAAATACAGGTACATTTACTATAGGATTATATAGGAAAATGCCAATTTTTAGCACTTTAAAGCAAATTATACAAATACTACAATAGACATTTTGTTCAAACTATAATATTTGATGAGTAATACTATATTATACAATATATGTAAGAGACACTAAATTCTACCATCTTGTTACCAGAGGGGGCATCTCAAAATGCAAAGAATTAGCAAATTTTACTATTTTTATAGAGTATTACAGAATATGACGTACACAATGGATTCACATGAAAACATAATAAAAATATTGGAGATATTCTCAAATATCTATGTTTTAAATTTCAAGAGCGTATTTTTATTACTTTTTCTTTAATAATATTTTTATTACCCCTTTCTTTAAGAGCTACAGATTATCATAACGTCAAAAACACACTGCAACGACGTCAACCTACCTATCAATTGCAAAATCGGTTTAAAAATCCGTTATATCAAATTGTAATGACATTTTTATACCTATAATTTCTTAATTTTGTTTAATTTTAATAATTAAGTGAAAAAAGTTGCATTAAAACAGTAAATACGCTTCATTTTACTATGATGCGCGAAATATTGCGCAATGGAAACTATAGTCAGCCCCCTTAATACAGTATAAACTGGGTTGGAACAGTTTACGCTTTTTTATAAACCGCTTCGGGGTTTATAAAGCGTAAACTGCCCCAACCCAGTTTATACCGCATAAAATGGGTAGCTATTAAATTCATTCCTTAAATAAATCTTCAAAGGTCAAGGTCAAAAGGTCAAAATTGTTGGTATCCAATGAAAGGTCTTGCCACAAAGAATACATAAGTGAATAATGAAAGTCCTAGTATCCACCGTTTAAAAGTTGTAACCAAGGTAATCGTTTTTAAAAAATAGGTCAAACTCCAAGGTAAAGGTCAAAGGATCAAATTTCTTGGTATCTAATGAAAGGTCTTCTCAAAAGAATTACATATATATGAAGTATTAAATCCTTAGCCCTTACCATTTAAAAGTTTTTGTCAAAGTTTTTTCATAAGTACATAAATCTCCAAGGTCAAGGTCAAAGGGTCAAAGTTGTTGGTATCCAATGAAAGGCCTCTACAAACAATAAATATGTGAAATATAAAGGTCCTAGTTCCTACCATTCAAAAGTTATGGCCAAAGTAAAAGTTTGGAATTTTTGTGTAAAAGTGGGTCAAACTCCAAGGTCAAGGTCAAAAGGTCAAATTTGGTGGTACCCAAAGAAAGGTCTTGCCACAAGGAATACACATGTGAAATATGAAAGTCATAGCTCCACTAAATCAAAAGTTATGGGCAAGGTTAAAGTTTTTGTGACGGACGAACAGACTGACAGACTGACGGACAGACAGACGGAGAGAAGGACAGACGAATGAGATTTAATGTCCCCTCGCTTTCGCGAAAGCGGGGGACAAAAAACATAGGTAATCCGAGATAACAGAGCTCACCTCAACGAATGTTGTCTTTAAGCAAGGCAAAGTCCCACAATACGCAAGTTTCGAGATTATCTCCCTTGGTGCGCTCTTTTGTTGAGGAGGGGAGTTTTGTTGCCGCGTAAACAGACAGGTGGGACAGATATTTATATAATGGATACATGGCATCATCGATATACTGGTTTATCATAACTACATGATTGTCGGGATGAACTTTACAACTTGAGAATAATCGAATTAAAGTAAAGGCGTCATTTTTTAATGCAAAAGAATCGTAAAAAAAGCGAATATATCAGTGGATGTGAGACTTTTCAGATGAGGGAAGAGATATGGACCTCTAATAAATACGTTACACATGCATCTGATCATTGCACGTCGGCAATCTGAATGACACTTTGATTCTTTTTCCTTATTATAACTTAAAAAAAAACACTAACTTTTTAGAAAATGTTTGTACAATCAAGAAAATGTTACTTTTTATAAGGACTGTGGCGTTTCTTTACCCTATAATTTAAAGTAGATTTGTAAATATGCATAGTCGAGCTTGAAAAAATTATCAAATGCATCACAGCTTAACATAATTATCTTTCTATAACATTTAATAAATTTTAAAGGCCATAAATTTCGTTCATTTATTTATGCGCGTTTGTATATAGAAACAACCTGTCCCACCTCCATGTTTCAATGGATACTTTTTGCGCCTCTATCATAGGAGAGTTACAATCTCAAAACTCGCATATTAACTAACATTCTAGTTTACATCCCAAAATGCCAAATTTTTGCAATTTTTATCTGATAGGGCTTGCAGTTACTTGGAAATAGACCTATCCAAAAAAACTAGTCACCCATCAAGAAAATGTCATTCAAATCCTGCATCTAAAGTAAGTTTGAGATTGCTCATCCCTTGATGCAAGTTTGGTTAACATATTTAGGCCTTACTGTTTCTTGATGATAGACCTTTATATATGTATCTTTTACCTCAGGTCCATTATTTGGAACATGTCGAATCCAGCATCTGAAGCAAGTCAATTAGTTTGCATCCTTGGATGTATCATCCATACAAATTTGCTTAAACACAGGGCATATATCTGCTTTAGAATGAACCTGCTCCAAAAACTTTAACCAGAATCAAAGTTACTTGAAAATGGGGCCTGCTACAAAATATTAACCAGTTCACTTATCCAGAAAATGTAGGTCAGATCATCCGGCCAAAGCAAATCTGTAGGATGCATCCATAGAAGTATCATCCATGCAAGTTTGGTCATCATAGAACTCATAGTTACTTGGATTAAATGAGATCCATAATTGCTTATTATATGAGCAAAATCTCGGAGGTGTTATATATCATATGGTAAACACTTAATAAGCAAGAACAACCCCAATTAAGTCCCAACCTCCCACAGAAATCCCCATTCTGGCATCCTCCCTTAGTGGCGCTCTATTAAGGGAACTGTCAGAAATGTTCTAATATCTTATATACCATGTTATTAACACATTACAAATCTTAATTAGTCTTTGAATAATATTTGATATAAATATAATAAGGCATTTTTGTTTCATATTCATTATTTAATAATATTAGTCTGTATGTGGGTTAGCATTTGTTGGTTCATGTGGACAGACAGATGGATAGATGAATTTAAATGAACAGATCTGATATGACAAAGAAAGATTGCAATTGTTCAGTGGAAAGAGAAAGATAGTGGGCAGGATTAAAGCAAAATTCTATCTTGAAGTTCCTTTAAAAAAGGTTAATTTATTCAGAAAGGGAGATATATAACTTAACTAAGCACACTATCTGGCCTTCTCTCAAATGAGATAATAAGATTCTTAAAAAAAAATTACAAGTGAATCTTTTATTACTTACAGGAAAGTCCACGACGTAGTCGGTGAACCACCGGGGGCGCTGGCGAACACGTGTAGATCGTCTAGGCTCCATTCTATAATAATAAAAACTTTATTATAAAACAAAGTTAATCAATTTCCATGAATTTCAATATACAGTAAAATACCCTTATAGCAAACACAATTTTTGATTTATGTTTACAAGTTAATTTTATTCCTCACTGCTTTAAAATATTTTGTGTAACCTACAGGCTATAAAAAATTAGGTTTATAATGAAGGAAAATTGCCTGTACCAGGTAATTCAATATAATTAGCCATTGTGTAACTGCATGTATATATTGCAACATCTAACTTGCACAATTTTAATCTCAACTTTGCACTTTTGCAGGAGTTAGCAATTAGGTTCCAGTTCCCCAAGGCAATGACTATTTCCCAAGGCAAAGCTGATCGAGGGAAGTAGTCCTTGCCGAGGGGAACTGGAATATTGCTGACTCCTGCAATGATATACTTTTTTAAAAACTGCTTTATTACACCAATACAAACATAAAATGTAAAAGATTCTGAAAAGGTGCTTCCAAAGCAGGGATTAAGCTCACTGAACTAACACACGGGGATCAAAGCTTAAGTCCATTCACATATACTAGACCAATGCAAAAGTAAAATCTAGAGGATTTTGGAAAACCGGGAATTAAATTAGCTTTTGAAGCAGGGATTAGCTCACTTATGACTAACATATGGGGATCAATCCATTCAAAAGTCATAACGATTTCTAGGTAATTAGTAGGGATGTCAAAATATTAATTTCCCAAATTAGTTGAACATTCAATTGCATTATTCGAACGATATTCGACTATTCGGAGCATTTATTTTTTCATAGCAAAGTGTTTTTGAAAGGTTATATTATTGAAAAAATGTAAAAATAAAATGAATTGGAAATGGGGAATTGTAAACATACACTAAACACACCTCCGATGAAAATGTTAAACACTGTTTGTGCAATTTTCGCCCAAGCTATACATTGTATATCAAAATGTCTTTTATGTAAGATAATTGTTTTTTAAAAAAATTATCAAACTCTAAAACTTCACAGCAATGCAAATATTGAATTTGCTTCCTAGAGTTTATAAATATAATTGGTACAAGTCAAGTAAATAATTTTCATAGTCCAGTATAGCGTTGCATAATTTACTACGTACAAAAACAAAAAAGTCAATGATTGAGAAATAATTATCGCAGTATGTAATTACTATACTTTCCATATGTACTATGTGGAAAACTATATACTGTGACTGTGTTTGAGCTCTTATTCTTCTGTGGACGTACACTATACAGCGCTGTATTTTTTGAGGAAGGACCCTTAATTTTTCAATTTGGAGATAAAAATTTCATTATCACCCCCCTTTTCTTGCATTTAAGTAATATTCGGATGTTGTTTCATTATTCGATCAATTCGACTCCAGTCAAATAGTCGACTATTCGTTGACATCCCTAGTAATTAGTCACATCTGAAGATCTAATGTTATACTGTAAAACGAGAAAATTTGGTGCATACGTATTTTAGCGTAAACGCAAGTTGGAATACATTGGCGCAAATAAATTTTAGCGCTTGCACTTGTCATTAAAATATATAAATGTGATATTTTTTTATCCACACCCGTATTTGACTTTTTGGTTAGTCAAGCACAGAAACAAAATAGCACTCCCGTATCTAAGTAAACACTCGTCAACTTTAGGTACAGTGGTGTTGCAATCACATGGAAGTGGCACAATGTTAAAATTTATTTTAATTTTATTTATTTTGAATAAAAGAAGTGGAGTATTTACGCATTTTATTTATATTAAAACAACACATGCATTGAAAGAAAGTTACATGGATAAACGGTAATCATAATCAGGTACCGTATAAGTGGAAATTTTAGCAAGACGCAAATTCAGCAATTTAATTTATTTTAAGCAAGAGGTAATTTTAGGGATTTTAAAATGCTTACTAAAGCAGCTATTACAAATAAAATGCAATTAATTTTTAGCGGTATTCAATTTTATTCAATTTTAGCGATCTCATGACCCTCGCTAATAATGCCAAAATTAAATCCTCGCTAAAAATTCTACTTATATGGTATTGTCTCCAAGCTCATGCAATCACCATGCTTGATTGCATTGTTTACCTCGAGGCGATAGATGATTGACGCACCGAGAAACCAAACTTTGAAGGTGCTAATGATAATATTCGAACGGGTAAAAAACTACAAGGGTAACATATATATATATATATGATATTATGCCCCCCCCCCCCCCCCCCCCCCCCCGTTTTTTTTTTACCAGTAACTTGTAACTTTTTATCCCCACCCCCAAAATTGGATTATTATGTCTGAACAACTTTCTGTTTATTTTATTTTATTTTTCATTTGAAAATATTATTATTGATCTTTTTTCATTATTTTTGTTGTTTCAAGAGCACGTACGTTCCTGACACCCCCCCCCCCTTCTTCTATCCGCCACCGATGCTATGCATGTCTGCATTACAAAAAAGCAACTTAAGAATAAATTAAACAAGAAAACATTGATGTAACCATCAATTGTCGCCCGGGAAGTATATAAAGTAAACAATGAAATTGAGTCTTGATCATCAAACCGCTTCGATATGTATGAAAAGGCATGCGTCTAATTGATGGAGACGATAGCTGCGAATATTTTGAAAACTTCTAGTCGGATAAAAATCAAACCAAAACGATATCATTTTAAACTTGATCAATTCCTCAGGTAAATGTTGACTGCATAAATATAAATTGAAGTTAGACACATGCATCACCTATAATCAAAAATGTATTAATTTTCAATTTTAAAATATAAAACACGAACTGTGCAGAGTACGTTTTTATGCGAGAAGTAAAATTCGATGTTCTAAAAAAAGGGACCTGTCGTTTTTCTATAGTAAATGATAAACAACTTTATATATTAAATATGAAAACATATATATATTTTGACAGATTCATTTTATGAGAGTAAATATATTATGTATCTCGTAATTTATAAACAGAAAGAACTTCTGATTAACAATCTTTTCAATATTTAGAAAACCTTTAATTCTTAATAACTACTCCCACCCCAATCCCCATGCACAAACAATCAAACTTATATGTATAGAGCAGCCCGGTCCTCCGGGCTGCAATAATTAAGAATAACACTGCATTTATGACGACATATGTAATTATTATTAATTTTAAAACAAACACGTTTTAAGCACCTGAAAATTATTTTGAATGGGAAAAAATTTAGACTCCTCCCCGGGCACCCCCCACTCCGAGCATGCGCAGTCGTTATGCATGAGGATATTTCCCGCCATTATTCCACCTTCATTAAAACTATAAATTACACAAAACAAATAAACATGTTTATCTTACAATTTTATGGTAATAATGTTATTATTTCATATACGATCAGAATGCATTGCTGGTATTGGACAGTGACCTGAAATGACGACTGGAACAAGTACTCACCGAATGTTCACGTTTTCAACAAATAAGTAAAAAAAAATATAAGGACTACATCAAATATAAACTTACCTCAGTCTGAAGTAATCTTCTTCTGTGTCTTGTAGGTTGAAAGAATGCTTTGATAAATCGCTTTGAAGGCTTTGCAAATGCAAAATAACTGCTACTCAAGTCAAGCTCAAATATCAGTCTGAGGAATTCTCATTTAAGGTCAGATCACGTGATCGATTTTGGACAATAGCTAGGGCGTGAAAACTGTGAAAAGGTGCGAGAGAGAGAGAGAGAGAGAGAGAGAGAGAGAGAGAGAGAGAGAGAGAGAGAGAGAGAGAGAGAGAGAGAGAGAGAGAGAGAGAGAGAGAACTAGCTGTTAGTCGTTCTATTATAAACTTGAAAAAAAGATGCGCGTCTTGTTTCAAAATTCAAATAAACTCAAGAAATTGAAGACGCTTTCGTATTTTTTTTTTAAAGATATCATTAATTCATTATATAAGGTTTAGGGTGACGGTCAGAGGAGGAGGTTATGATGTGGGGTTAGATGTTATATGGTTAGGGTTTCATTTGGAATGAGGGATATGGTTAGGGCTAGCACAGGGGCCTAGGGTTAAGGTTATTGTGAGGGATTTAGGGTTATGGCTTCAGCAAGAGGTAAGGGTTAGTGTTAGGACGACAAAGACTGAAGTAAACAAAGAGAAAACAAAAGAAAGGGTCAAAGAAGAAGAAAAGGGAGGATGTATGCAAATATTTTATAAGAATATCTGATTTATCACAAAAAATGGATTTTATGGGTCATTTGAAAATACTTTATATCGTCATGCAACTTATTTATATCGTCATACAACTTATTTATATCGTCATACAACTTATTTATATCGACATGCAACTTATTCATATCGACATGCAACTTATCTATTTATCTATATCGACATACAACTTATCCATATCGACATACAACTTATCTATATCGACATACAACTTATCGATATCGACATACAACTTATCGATATCGACATACAACTTATCAATATCGACATACAACTTATCTATATCGACATACAACTTATCTATATCGACATACAACTTATCTATATCGACATACAACTTATTTATATCGACATGCAACTTATTTTTATCGACATGCAACTTATTTTTATCGACATGCAGCTTATCTTTATCGACGGGCAACTTATCTATATCGACAGGCAACTTATTTGTGACTACGGAAGCGTAAATGGCTCTACACTCGTTGTGTTATAACTCCATATATAACTTATTTTTAGACCTAGCCGAAGGCTCAAGTGAGCTTTTCTGATCAAAATTTGTCTGTTGTCTGTCGTTGTAAACTTTTCACATTTTCGACTTCTTCTCAAGAACCACTAGGCCAATTTCAACCAAACTTGGCACAAAGTATCCTTATCAAGGGGAACTTATTTTGTTCATGACATACACACCCTTATTCATGGGGAGATATGCAAGAAATACTTAAAATTTGATGGTATGTTTTAAAAATCTTCTTCTCAAGAACCACTGTGCCAGGAAAGATGAAACTTATAGGGAAGCATCCTCAGGTAGTGTAGATTCAAGTTTGTACATCAACATACATGACCCATACAACTTATCTAACCCTTCAAAAGTTATGGTCAAAGTTTGTTTTTAAACAGTAGGTTAAACTCCGTGGTCAAGGTCAAATGATCAAAATATCTTGGTATCCAATGAAAGGTCTTCTCACAAGAATTACATAAGTAAGGTATGAAAGCTCTAGCCCTTATCGTTCAGAAACTTTAAAGTACACAGATCTCCAAAATCAAGATCAAAAGATGAAACCTTATGGTGTCCATTGAAAGGTCTTGTCACAAAAAATACATCATGTGAAGTATGTAAGTCCTTTGTATCTACCGAATCAAGGTATTACCAAGGAAAAAGTTAGGACTATTTTAAGTGTAAAAGTGTGTCAATCTCCAAGGTCAAAAGGTGAAATTTGGTGGTTTTCAAATCAATGTCTTGTTACAAGGAATACACATGTGAAATATGATAGTCATAGCTCAACTTATTCGAAAGTTATGGGCAAGGTTTGATTTCAGGGGCATAAAAAACTAAACTTTAGTCTTTGACATGACTTTTGAACAGTTGGTGCTAGGGCTTTCGTACTTCACTTGTGTAATTGTGACAAGACCTTTTATTGATGTAATAAGATGTGTTTGTAAAACACTGATGCCCCCTTATGGCAACATAGCAAAGGTTAAATGTTCTCAAATGCAAATCAGACATTTTGATATCCATAGTAAGGCCTTCTAGATTTCACAGGAAATATAAATGTGAAATATAAAACCCTAGCACCACCTGTTCAAAAGTTATGGCCAAGGTTAACGTTTTTTTAAGGAAGGCCAAACTCTGGGGTCAAGGTCAAAGGGCCAAGATTGTTGGTTTCTAATGAAAGGCCTTGTCACAGAGATTACATACGGGAAGTATAAAAACCCTAGCCCTAACCACTCAAAAGTTATTGCTAAGGTTAATGTTTTTAAAAAGTATATCAAACTCTAAGGTAGAGGTCAAAGGGTCAAAGTTTTTGGTATCCAATGTAAGGTTTTGTCACAAGATTACATATGTGAAGTATGAAAGCCCTGGTCCTTATACTTAAATGAACTTAAGTGATGCCGTTGATTTAAAATAACACTTGAATTTTTACATAAAAGGAAGGAATTAACACGGAAATCATTCAAAAATATACATATATACGAGCTTATATATAACTGGAACTCTTATTTCTCTCTCATCTTTTTAGTGTTTGGGAAGCATGTACAAAGTAAGTATTTATGTGTATTACGAGCAATTCTTAAACTATTTCCTGATATCTTGTGTATTTTTATGTGCTAATTCTCATTACACAACATTCAATCTACTTATAAATTAATTTTTAAACATTAATTTCGATAAAACAATACAAATTTTAATCATTACGCAGATAGGTAAGGAATTATTTATTTTCTTGTATTTTAAACAAAATTGTATCGAAATTAGAGGTCATTGTTGGCCTCCCTAATTAATTAGGAATTGTTCAGAATCTAAGAAGACCGCGTTAATATTGAAAATAATACCTTTAAGAAATGAAAAGTTTAAAATCGTTCCTGATCCTAATACTCAGCACTCTTAACATTTGTGTATTAAACCTTTTTTTTAGGAAAGCAAAACAAAATAAACAAACAAATGAAAAAGAAATATATACATCTGCACAAACAAATAAAGATATTCATAGGAACGTGAGCACCACTTACTCAGTAGTCAAATCAGTTCCCTTATCTGAAAATAAATTTATTAATGGCCCTCAACTTATTGCACGTTTTCAGCAATTTTAATTTAATAAGGCTAATTAGTTTTTGAAATTTCTGTTATTTTTTAATACTGTAACTTTGCTGTAGGTAGATCTAATCAAAGATATCATTTACTCTCAACTTAAAATCTTTAACAAAATATGTGTGGAACTTTGCTTGAGAGTGTGAAGTGGGGGGGGGGGGGGTTAAAGGCACAACCCTATTTCAAAAATTGCTGATGCCCTGTAATGGCAAACTGTCCATGTTTTGGTATGTCTTAATCTAAAATATATGTAAAAAGTAAAATAGGATAACATTATTTATTACATAAAAGTTTAGGGGGAAAGTGTATGCATTTATCCTTATTACATTTTGTATCTTTATTTTAAGTAAAATAAAAAGATGGCAGAAAATTCTTCATTGTTGGCACAAGATCCTGTTCGATGTGAATTCTGCAAAGCAAGCAATGCGGAGTCCGTTTGCAAAATCTGCAACGACCGTATTTGTGCTATCTGCGAAAAGATCCATCATAACATTCACTCTAATTCGGAAATTAAGTCCACAAAACTGGAAAAGGTACAAGGTTTCTGCAAGCATCATCCAAGAAATAGGTACGAGGTCTGCTGTTATGATTGCCGAGTACCCGTTTGTACAACATGCATTATAGATAACCATAACAAACATAAAATGGTGAAAATGTCAGTCTTGTTCGAGGAGGACAAGAATGCTATTGTAGAAGACATAGGAGAGATGAAAAGCAAAATTTACCCAGAAATAGAACTGATAGCTCAAAGTGCAAAATCGATAAAGGAAAGTATTCCATCCAAATGTCAGATGGTTGTACAATATCTAAAAGCCAGGGCCGAAAAGGCAAAAGAGCAAATAGACAAGTTCTTTAAGGAGGCTGTACTCGAGCTTCGAGAGATGGAGAAAAAAGATGTTAAAGCATTTCAAGAACACATTGCTCAAATTGATGACATCCTTTCAAGGTTAAAGAAAACAGCTAGCCTATATGAAGGCCAACTTCATACAAGATATGAATCTGATTTAATTCTATTTCGAAGAGCTAATCCGGAAATTTCTATTTTTAGAACTATTCCAGACACTCTTAAGTACTCTCCTCCCTTCTTCAAAGGCGGTAAACTGGAAAAAGCAAAGCTCAGCAAATTCTTTGGTGAACTGCAGCCGTCATCGATAAAACACACTAAAGTAAGAAAAATAAGACAAAAGACAAAACGCTCAGATACCAAGGCAGCTTTGCTAAGTAGTTTGGAGAACATTTTATCTATCCCAGCATCAAGCAGTGTACTCACCCCGGCTACTGAACTAACGCCGCCAAAACCTATCAGCAGGAGCACATCCATGACGAACTCAGCGAAGAGTGTGCAACACTTCAAAAGGAGTTACAGTGTTCTGACTTCTGTTAACTGTGTGTCCACAGAAAAGGCGTGGATAAGTGGGCAGCATCCAGATGTTAAACTGATGGATTTGCAAAGTGGAGAATGTGATACGATTTCCACGGACTGTGAGACAGTTGGACCCTCTGATTTGACCATTACTAAGGACAATGACATCATTTTCTCCGACTTTTATGACAGGTCCGTGAAGCAATTAACAATTGAAACTAAAGAAATGCAAGTAATTTTTCGAACGGATTGGAATCCAAAGGGTCTTTGTTGTGGAAATGACGGTGATGTGTTTGTATGTCTTGTCGAAAACCAAAACGGAAAAGTTTCAAAATTCAAGAAAGGCGGATTGTCACAAGAATTCATAAACGGGGTGGATGGGCAACGGCTTTTTGAACAACCAAGTTACATTTGCCAAAATTCCAATTCTGATCTCTGCATTTCAGATACAGGGAAACGTGCAGTCATTGTTCTAGATGCAACTGGAAATAAGAAATTTGCATATAGCGGAAGTGATGCTGACGGTCGTTCGCCGTTTGATCCTCGTGGCATCGACACCGAGGTCGGAGGTAACATCGTTGTGGTGGACTATGGAAACCATGAAGTCATATTAATAAGTGAAACTGGAAAATTCCTCACGTGTTTGCTTGACCGAAGCGACGGACTTTCCCGGCCCTGTGATGTTAGTGTTGATGGCGAGAATAAGCTTTGGGTCGCAGAGTGCCGCACGGGAAGGCTGAAAGTGTTTCAGTCGATATCAGAAATCTGACATCTGACCAATGAGAATCTACTAGTATTCGCCATTACGTAGCGCCGAGAATGCCACGCCTTCTGAAAGTCCAAACTAGGGAGAAGAGCGTCCTATTTACTAGTATAGCGCCGCTGAATCCGTTTCTTATTCGGAACTGGTCAAATAACTGTAGATGTGAAAGAAAGTTGTAAACCATTGATTTTAATTAAAGTCGAAAATTAAGTTGAAATAGGAAGCTTTCTCCAAAGGCAATGTACAGAGGTGTATATGTATGGGCAAACATATCTTTTTCTCTCTGCTCTTAAAATGATGCAATTGCCTACACTAAACACATTTCTGCACAATTCTTTGCAACTTGTTTTCCTCCTTACAGTATTTTAAGGGGGGGGGGTTTACAAGTGATTAGTAGAAACAATTATTTCAAAGTAAGGTCGGTACGTTAAATTGTTGTCCAGGTCTCTGTGCTTGTCCGCTCATCAGTCACTTCAGATACAAGATACAAGATATTTTATTTACCAATCTTCTTCCTCAAACTCTTATAATACACGAAGTGGCCAATTCAACTTATAAAATGTGTTTGTAGATATGTAGTTTAATAATTATTACTCTGAGACCAATTAGGGAGGAGCAGAGGCGGACGAACACAGCATTTTGTCCAAAATATTCGTCCTCACTTCCTCCTACATATTAGAAGTACCGAAGGTGTGGAGAGACGGATTTCCCCCAATATTCAACTTGTATCTAGACTGTACTGTAGAAAGGATCCCTTCGCGACGATCTATTTTTTTGCAATCATTTTCATTCGCAAAAAATAAAAACGCAGAAATTATATCTGTTGTTGTGTGCCACAAAAGCATTGCAATTTGCGAAAAGAAATTATACCAAGTTCCCAAAATTTGCAACACGCGACAAAACCCCCAGATATATGGCAATAAAAGAGTTTATATAAATGTCAACTTTAAAAAAAATAGAAATAGGACTGTTTCTAACTCAAGAATTGTCAAATATAATACCAAAGCATAAAATACAGAGTTCAAATCATTGAGTTTCAGTTTAAAATATTCACTCATAGAAGACTGTAAAATTAGTCACTCAACAATTGCAAGAAACACTTCTTTTTCAAGCCGAAGCATAAGTATGTCCTTTCGATGAAATATATAAAGATAACGAACAGTATTCAAACTCTGAAGTTTATCAAACAAAACAAAATAGGAGCAGAGCAAACAAGGACCAACAAAACATCAGAGGTGGGATCAGGTGCCATGGAGGAGTGAGCGTCCCCTGCCGACCGGTCACACCTGCTGTGTTGTCCTTGTCATGATCGGGAAAGAAGGGGAAAATCCGTGGACAATTCAGTGTGTAATACATCTAATGACCTAACAATTAGTATGAAAAACGTCAGTCAGCATTTGACTCAATGATAAATCATATTTGCTGACAAGACCATTATATCGCCATTATATCGACCATAGAAATTCAAATGATTTTTAATGAGACTGCTGATATTCTTTTTTCATCAACTTGTTTGTCAATATTTTGCCTGGTTTTAGAAATCGTACATATACGAGGGGCATTTCAAAAGTCCTGAGAACTGTTTAATAAAAACTTAACCGTTTCTCGGAAATTATTCTCGTAAGAGCATGTTCTTGTGTATCGAATCAACTGATAGATATAAACCCCGTATGCAGGCATTAGATGCTTGTTAGATTGCTATTCCATCTCAGAGATATAATATTGGATTCCAGAGCAGATAGAATAAACTCTTTCAAGTTTTACAAAATGTCATCATTAAAAAAAATCATTTAAGCCCCACTGCCACAACAGTTATTTTGGGATGTTCAAACACAAGAAGAGTTTCAAATCCATTTAAAATAAAATTGTTTTTGTTTCCATGGAGACAGTTGAAATTTGTCCAACCAATTTCATACATATTGTAATTTTTTTTTCAGAAACCAGTTTGACATTATCACAATGCTTCAAAATAGTTAGCTGGGCAATTACTGGTAAATATGAGATTAAACATTTTCACTTTTCAAGCACATATTTAGCCAGTTTTCTTGGGAGGGGTGCATATTATAGAAGGGAAAGCCTACTCCTCTACAAGACCAGAGACCAATTTATATTTTGGATTATGATAGGTGATGTCCTATAGATTTGAAATAGTTTTTAAGTTTCCACTCAACGGAAGAGAGACATGGGTTCGAAAAACATTTTTAATACAAGAGGCCCATGGGCCACATCGCTCACCTGAGAATCTTTTGTCATATTGTTCTTTACCAGATTTCCCCCTTGTACTACATATTGTGGCCCTGCCCTACCCCCTGGGGTCATGATTTACTACCCCAGGGTGCATCAACATCAGTTTCAGCTTTTCTGGCCCAGTGGTTCTTGAAAAGAAGATTTTCAAAGATTTTTCCTATATATTTCTATGTAAAACTTTTATTCCCCATTGTGGCCCAGCCCTACCCTTGGGGGTCATGATTTGAACAATTTAGAATCTACACTACCCCACAATGCTTCCACATGAGTTTCAGCTTTTCTGGCCCAGTGGTTCTTGAGAAGAAGATTTTTAAAGATTTTTCCTATATATTTCTATGTAAAACTTTGATTCCCCATTGTGGCCCCGCCCAACCCCCGGGGGTCATGATTTGAACAATTTAGAATCTACACTATCCCAGGGTGCCTCCACATAAGTTTCAGCCTTACTGGCCCAGTGGTTCTTGAGAAGAAGATTTTTTAATGACCCCACCCTATTTTTGTCTTTTCTTGATTATCTCCCCTTGTAAGGGGACTTGGCCCTTCATTTTAACAATTTAAATTCCCCTTCACCCAAGGATGCTTTGTACCAAGTTTGGTCAAAATTGGCCCAGTGGTTCTTGAGAAGAAGTCGAAAATGTGAAAAGTTTACAGACGGACGGACAGACAGACAGACAGACAGACGGACGGACGGACGGACGACGGACAAAATGTGATCAGAAAAGCTCACTTGAGCCTTCGGCTCAGGTGAGCTAAAAAGACTCGTACTCTGAATTCAACTTGCATTTTACAAGTATATACAATCCAATTAATCTGTTCTAATATGATTGGTGTGTCCTTTAGATGTGCAACTTCATTTATACTTTGAGGTCTCCAAAAACCTACATGTGGTTACTCATTCTTCGACTACCATGTTAGATGTAGTAAGAATATAATGAAAGTTGAATATAGTGAGTATTAAATCTGTAGTATATGTAATGGAAGACTTGACTCAATCAACTGGAAAATGTAGGTAAAGTTCAGCAACCTGAATGGTCCAGTTATTTATATACATATCTCTAGATGCCTAACTGATGCAAATTTGGTCCAGAAAAGGTTTATATGAGGGGCGTAGCAACCGCGCCCCCCCCCCCCCCACTTTTTTCCCCAACCTTAATTATACTGTAGGAAATGTTAATTGAAAGCCTGGTTGGCCCCCCCCCCACTTTTAGTGATGTACCGAAAATGTAGTATTAGAACTGGTACTAAAAGTAGTTGACACTGAGAAAAAGTTTACAATTTAATACCCCCCCCCCCCCCCAAATAATATTAGTACCAAGGCATAAAGGATTTTCAACTTTGGGCAACTTTTCCTTTTTTTTTTTTTTTTGCTTGTCAACTTTTTCAGGCAAGTAAAAAATTTTTTTTCTCTGGCTGGCCCCCCCACTTTCAAAAACGATGCTACGCCACTGTATATTACTAAAATAATCTTTAATCTAGGATGCTTAGACCTCACGTATAGCATGAACTCATCTCTACATTTAATACATGAGTTAAAAATATACCAAGTTTATACAACTTTTTTAATGGGTAAAAATCATGATTAACAAGTACAACAAGGTTTAATGACAAAATTATCTCAAATAAATAAGGAAGCTCAAAGAATATGTTGGAAACCAAAACCACATTCAATTAGAAGATGATTTAGGCATGTGCATGTATAAAATAAAATGTAACTTCCTCTTCTTTTTTCAGATTAACAGGAAACACTTGTACTTTAAATATATATTTATATTGTAATGCCCACGAAAAGCTGCATTTAATTAATACATTTATAAATACAACATTCTTCGAATTAGATAATATTAGTACCAAGGCAAAAAGTGTCATAGGGAAATAAGATTGACACTAAAACAGCTGAATATACTATTGTAATAGTATTTCAATATCCTTGTGTAGATAGAACATTTTAACACCATTAAAATTAAAAGTACATGGTTGAAGTACATTACAATTCTAACACATGTTGAATATCACATGGGTAAAATAAAGATTTGATTTGCAAAGACCTTACAACTAGGACCTAATTCCGGCATGGTCCTATAATTTTCTGCAAAAATCTCTTAATAAAATAAGATAATTAGCTCTTTTTAATATTGAATTAATACTGAAATTGATCTTTAAACTGAAAACAAGATGAAGAAACAGTCTTTGCACATTCAGCAATGTTCCCTTAAACAAACCTGATCCTTAGATGTATCATCCATGCAAGTTTGGTCAACATAGGACTAATAGCCCGTGGTTCCTCTTCATCAATGAGGCTGTGGTACGTGTCCATCAACATAAAAATTCCTCGTGGCCTTGGGAAGTGTCAGCTCCATACCTTCCAGTTCTTTTGTTAAGATAATCTGACAACCTGCAATGATTCCACAAAACAAAACATGCATGTAAGGATTGATAATAATATGGTCAGATTTTGGTATTTCATTCATTGATATATTAAATACATGTACTCATGATATGTTAAAGTGCATGAATTAGAAATCACAACAACAAAAAAAATTCTAGCATATTTTAACTTCAATGACAATGATATCATGTACCTTTCTCTCTGCAGTCTGCACTATTGAATCTAAAATAATAAGGCTTAGGGAAAGTTTCAAGTGCTCTTAAATTACAGGAAACACACATATTGTGTGCTTTGTTATTGTTAGTGATATTATATGTTAAATTTCCTTTTTTTCAATCTAGATTAACACAAATACATAACAGAGGCCCACAGGACTTAAAAGTCACCTGTTTTTTTTTTAGTTTTTCAGGCAATGTCCACTTTGGACTCACCTGGAAATGACTTACATTTATATCAGATTTATCTTGCAGTTCTTGGAACATCATCATATTTATGTCTTTTGCTATATTCTGGCCCCACCAGGGATCATGATTTAAAGAAATATGAATATACACTATCTGAGAATGCTTGCAAATTGATATTTATTGTGTTATCATGGACTTACTGTTCTTGAAAGAACTTTTAAAAAGTTTTTTTCTTACAATTCCTACATTTGTAACCCACCCTGTTCTAATTGAGTCTGCATCTATTTGAGTATACAGTATGTCAGAAAGCTTTCATGCAAGTTTCAACCATTCTTGTAGATCTTAAAGGGAAGATTTTTAAATGATCCCATTTATTTTTTGTATTTTCTTGATTATCTCCCCTTGGAAAAGGATTTGAACATAATTATTTCAATCCACTTCACCCATGGATACTTTGCAACAACTTTAATTGACAATGGTTCAGTGGTTCTTATGACGAAGTTGAAAATGTAACAAGAGGTCCAGGGGCCTTATAGGTCACCTGAGTATCATGTAACAAATTTCTAGCAATTGAATTTGGTTTGTGTTTTAAACCAAAAGCCATAAAATTCACAATTTTGAAAGAGACACCAATGCTTATCATAATAATACACTTAGCATGCTTACTTTGGACAGTTTGGTTACTAAATACCCAGAGGTAGATCAGAGTAACAAAGATAAAATGCATTTCCACTTTATAACCACCAGTTGTGCATGCCACCCAACAGGAACCACTGACCCAGGGACCTGATATTTCAAAATTTTGGAAATTTCATAAATTTCATTTCATCATAAATGGTTGATTAATACCAAAAAGCAGATTTCAAAGCATTAATCTATTTTCAGACAAAGTAACCCCCCCCCCAGTTCCCCTGATCCAGGGGCCCTGAAATTAACCATTTTTAAAGAGGCACCTTTCTTCATCATAAATATGTAATTAGATCATTGGCATGTTAACCAGGAGCAAAGGAAAAATTTTTCAAAGAATTCATGCATTTTCACTATATAATCATTAGAGCCCCACCCAACACCAGAACCCCTGATCCTGGGGCCCTGAAATTCACAAATTGGGTAGAAACATCCTTCTTCATCATAACTGTGTACATAGTTCATTGATTTAATACCCAGGAGCAGAGGAGCAGATTTTTAAAGAATTTTTGCAATTCCACTATATAATCGATAGAGCCCCACCCTAACACCAGAACCCCTGACCCAGGGGCCATGAAATTCAAAATTTGGAAGAGATATTCTTGCTCAGAATTTATGCTTTTTCTCTATATAATCAACCTAACACCAGAACCCCTGACCCTGGGACCATGATATTCACAATTTTGGAAGAGGCAGTCTTATTCAACATAACTATGCACTTGGTTAGTTTATTCAATGCCCAGGAGTGGAGAAGAAGATTTTCAAAGAAATAATGCATTTTCACTATATAATCTATTCAGCCTCGCCCTAGCACTAGAAACCCTGACCCTGGGGCCATGAATTTCACAAATTTAGTACAGGACTCAATACTGATTACAATCACGTCAACAGTTTGACTGCTTGATGTACAGGAGTAAAGAAGACTTTTAAAGACTAATTCTAGTGGTTTTGGCCCCACCCCTCAAGCCCCAGGAGGGCAGGGACCATGAAATTCACAATTTTTGTTCTCCTTCAACCATTGATGCTTTGTTTCAAATTTGGTTGAAATTAATAATGGTGATCATTGAGTACAGTTTAAAACAATTTTTTTAAACTCTTACCTAGTCTTGAGTTTTCTTTTAAGAAATATGCCAAATCTAGCATGTCATCTTCTCTAGAACAAAGATAAAAACATTTAATTGCATATAAAAATGATATGAAACTCCAATCTTATATTAACACATTTGATCCCTCTCTTTGTTTATCTTTTGTCATGTGTGAAAGGCATCTCCTAGCAAAAGAGCACATTTCTTTCAGATCTGTTTTATACAACACATGAAAACAAAAACAAAAGGCTATTTGTAACAGACATTTTCATTCAAAATTCTTTTATCTGCCATGGATCCCTGATTCAGTCTACAAATACAGTCAAACTTCATTATCTCGAACCTGATTGGGCTGAGAAAAAAACTTCAATGTATGAGGATTCAAGATATAGAGGGTAGAGTACTTATGGAATATGTGGTTGGGACTTCTTCATCACTTCGACATATCCATGGTATTTGAGATATTGGGAGTTCGAGATACCAAAGTTCCAGTGCATAGATAAACAAAGAGAGAGATAACAGGTCAAGTATAATTCTTATTACTAACTGCTATTTACTTGTGATTGCCTTTTTTTCAAAGGGCTACCACACATTAAACTATAATATATAATTTTTGCAACTGTACGAGGGTTGTCCGTAAAGTTCGTGGACAAGCTAAGAATGAAATAAAAGTTGTGTCATTGATATTTATTATTAGCATATTTCTAATCCTTTACTAAATGTGAATTAAAAAATGTAAAATCTTAATCAATTTCAAATGTTTAATTACAATTATGGCTTCATAATTAGACTTGGAATGGAGACCCAGAGCACCGCAAAATTTTAATTAAAAAATTATTTATCACTTTACAAAATTCATTTGTATTTTATAAAATTCTCCGGAAATCTGGATGACTTTTAGATTATGAAGTTGACATATCACATCAAACCTACAAAATTTGAATGTTCAAAGTTGTAAAATGGCTGAGCAATCAAAGTTAGAACTTATTAGAACTAATCGGAATTGTTAAAAAAAAGGGACGTTTTCGGAATAGGTGGAGCAGTGAGCAGTGATAAAATTCTGCAAAGACATCGGTTAAACACCTAGAGAGACCCATACATTATGTAAACAATCAGAAAAACATAGTAAAAGAAGTCATACATTAGCATTCAACTGGTATATAATATTTACGGACAGAAGGAACAGTTTACGTGAAGACATGCGTGAAGGAAAACCATCATTATGAGATTGCAGTGTTGTAAAAATGAATTGGGTAATGTGAGTTTGTGACTTTACCATATTTCCATAAATAAAATCGTTCTTACACGGACAGAGGTTGGATGATTGCAGGACATGAGACAGGTATTGTTAAATTTTAATTTACTAATGAAATTTGAACATTTTATGCATATATTTATGACTGGTTATAGCGACATAAGAAATGTATTGAGTTAACAGTGCCTATGTTGAGAAAAGTTACATGTACACCTGTACTCGTATTATGATTTTGACGTCGGGTAATGTCAAGAATTTTCATTTTAGTGCTCTGGGTATGTGTGTGTGTCTTTTTTATATCTGATAAAAATATAACTATTTGTGCTTTATTTTTGTTGAAAACTTGCATGTTAATAAAATGAAACATGAATTTAATGAAAATAATAGGTTCATATATTTTATCAATGTTTGTCAGTAATTGTCAATGTTGTCCATGAACTTTATGGACAACCCTCGTATAATTGTTGTTGTTCATTCATACCTTTGGTATTGCAGTTTGAATTGAATGGCAAAAATTACACACTCTTTTAAACTGCATATAATGATATATTTTGACATCCTTTTAACTATTTATGTTTATGAAGTGAGATATCATAAATATATTTTATTGATATGAAGATTTGGTGATTTTGCCTGAATTGGCCTACCATTTTAGAGAGTAGATAGTAATTATTCTGTTATTCTTCTACAGATAAGGAGTAGTGTCAGATGCATGTATCCACAGGTAACAGAAATTTATCATCTTACATAGTGAGCTCACACAAACAGGCTGACAAAGCACACTGTGAAATTGTACAGGTGTTGGTAACATAAGTTGGTCACTTCTGTATAAAAACTAGACTTACTCTTCTACAGGATCAGGGAGTTTGTCAAAATACTCATCTTGTACATAAACATGGCATGTAGAGCAGGCTAAAGATGCTTCACAGGCACCTTGAAAAGAGAAAAAAATGTTAAAAACTGTTTTAATGTGCATTTGTTAGTAAATATTTGACAATTTTTTAAAAACCATGATATTGTCTTGAAGCACGTTCTGTACATAACTACATGTAAAATTTTCTGCTTTGGGAAGAAAAATTGTGAAATTAATTACATATGTAATACATTGTAAAATATATATGGTTATATATAGAAATGTTTAAATCTAAAAGGAATAATATTTTTCTTCATGAAATTATCATGGTTTCAGTCATAAATTTTCACCTTTCCTTTTACAAAAGAAACCAAAGTAGTGTAAAGGATTTCAATGAAAAATTTTTATTCTTTGTCATGGCCTATCCAACAGTATCATCCATCCTTTCATATGTATGTGCAAAATTTTGTTGAATTAGCAAACAAAAGACGCATGAAAGTAGCATTTATGATAAAAAAAAATCCAAGATATACAGTTTAAAATAAACAGATTGCTGAGTCTGTATAGCACAAAAACAAGAAACAAACTAAATGAATACATACCTTCTAATTCAATTCCATATCTGTGTGCTAAGTACAGGACATTGTCACCTATTTTGCCTTTTACAGGAACGGGTGTTCCTGTTTTATCTACAAATGTGATGTTCACTCTACAAATTAAAGAAAAAAAATTATGAACAAAATGTGTTTGTGAAAGGGTGCGTTGATTTACCCAAATGGAACCCTTATGGAAACTCAAATGAACCCAAAAGGAATTCAAATGGACCCAAGTGGATTTTATGGACCCAAAAGGAAATCAAATGGACCAAAGTGGATTTTAAAAGTATATATATTATTGTCTTCTCAATTTGTTACTGAATCATGTCCCCCCCCCATAATTTTGCAATATATAGAATACTATTATTAATAATAAAATATAATTTGATCTCAAAATACAATATTAGGAAATTCAATCAATAACTAATATACCCATTTGTAAGTTCATTATTTTCATCATTTTAAATAAGTAACAACTTGATAATACGATAATGCATAATTAATATTCCATGTGGTTTCCATTTGGGTCAATTTGATTTCCATTTGGGTTTATTTCAGTTTCCATTTGGGTAAATCGACATATACCGTTGTGAAACACTATAATGCCCGAAAATAACACAGTTCTGAAGTGGGAGGTAGACTGAAGTGGTATACACTTACCCTTGACAGTGCAATAGTTATTGGCTAGGTTAAAGTTGACAATAGGCAGGCAAACAGACAGACAGGACAAAAACAATATACAAATGTATAAAAATTGAATTTGAACGTTTTATCAATGATTTTTTCTTTTAATTTCTTAAATAATTCTTTGCAATCTTTTGTGACTGATATAAATTATTTTATCTTACACTTCTTCGGGTGATTTTGGATCTTGCATTTCATATTCCCCATGAAAAAGAGGACCTACAATAATAAAATGCAGCAAATTACAATTTGGTAGTGAGAGTAGCGTGATACGAACTTCATATCACTTAAGAAGAAATAAATTGAGAACAAGCTATGTAGCACAAGGTGAGAAAATAAAAAAAAAGTTTATTGATGGGATGTTTATCATGTTTATTAGAAAAATAGCGAAACATCTATTGTGTAATTATGGAACAAATTCGAAATTATGACACTTCTCACTTTGCAACGTCCATACCTGAAGCTGTTTTAAAAAATCTTTTCATAGAATATGTTATATTTGGGGCATTTCTTTGCCATGATTTGTCGCCCAAAACAACTCTTTTGGCTAATTTTGTGCATTGTTTGCACAGCAATCTTTGCAAGGGCGCAGACATCTTTGTTGAGCTAGGTCATTAGTTTCGGATTAAAATGTAGGTCATTCTGGATGAGAAACTAAAATACAAACAAAGTGCTAGCTCTGTATGCTTGTAGCAATTTTATGACAGAGAAACCATCGGACCAACAGAGGAATAAGTTCCACCTCAGGAGTAAACACGTAAAAGATAAAAAGGCTGTGAATACTGTTTCTAATCATGGAGGAGTCGTAATGTCGGTAAAATCATTAAAATGAATCATGATATTTGGTTGCAAATTTGACGGTTCCTTGCATGTGGAGAGGTCAGCGCATTTTTCAACATACAGGAGGGGTGAAACCCCAATAAAGTGGTGGAAACCATAAAATTGATAATGGGGTACAATAAGTCCTAAGATGATGTGTGTATTGACATCCGTAAATTTTTATAGCCAATTTTACCTCAGAATCGACGGAAATTGGGCGCCATTACGTTTACCGACACCACGCCCGATCTAAATTCGAAGCGAGCTGTTTTTCAGTATAATTGTATAGATAATATTAAAATAATTCATAATAATTTCCACAATTATATTTGTTTTACAATGATAATAGTAAAATATTAATTATGTAATAAGTATTTAACAAAAAATGTAAGGACGTTAGCCATTAAGAAAATATGAATTTGTGTATTAATTATTATTCATATTATCCCAATGTTACCAGCTCTAGCCACGTGGAGGCCTCCTTTTTGTAGAGCCATAATTTTAAAAAAAAATTTCATTTAGGATATTTTAGAGAATATCTGAATTTAGAGATATGAAAATATCCAAAAGCTTCAAAGCAACATTAACAAAAAAAAAAAAATAGTGAAGATAATTCATTACTATAATTCATTACTTATTTGTTACAAAGAGAACAAAAAAATAAATAAAATTCAAAATATGAAAATACTGAATTTATTTTTTGAGATTTAGACAAATTCTGAATGTAGGGATATAAAAATTTGAAATTCAAAGGTTCAAAGCAACAATAAAAATAATAATTACTTAATATATGTTGAAAAGAGAACAAAAAATAAATCAAAGTCAAAAGATGAAAATACTGAAACCTGAAATAAATAGTAAATTAAAATAATATATCAATTTTCAAATATTAGATATTTTATTTCAAAGTAACTTTTTTATGTTCTTTTCTTAGAAAATTTTTTTTTTTACATCAGTTGTTTACATTTTGAATTGTCTTTAAATTATACAACATTTATGAAATAAAAGAAAAAAACAGAAGAAAAAAAAATCACACAACAAAATAAAAGAACTGAAGTTTTGATGGAATTTTAACTATGAAAAATGTCTGTTTGAACTGGTTGAAAGATAACTGAAATTATTTGATCATCTCCAAGCACAGGTATTTTATGTAATTTTACGCTTACAACTGACGGTACTACCACTATAGTTAGACCACGTACCTTAGGTAAAAAGATAGGTCAACAAAAACGTAAAAAAGTGGACAGGACTACAACTTTAAAAAAATCTAAAATACAGTAGATCAGAGGCCAATAATCAGTAGTCTTAAACCAAAAAACAAAACCAAAAATGTTTTTAAGATTGTATATTTATTATTTTTTCTAGGTAGGGCTAGTATCAGGCAGTACCAAAAGTGAATACTGTTTGGTGTTGTGTTGTGTTAGGTTAGGTTAGGTTTGGTTAGGAATGTTATTGTTTTTTTAAATGTTGCTAATTAAATTATAAATTCCTTTCTCTAAAATTTTTATTATGGTATTTTATTTCATGTATATTACTAATCTTTCATTTGGCTGTAATATTTTTATATATGAACAAAAGATTGAATAGGAATAATGATCCAGTATCTTTAAGTTTTTTAAAAATCTTTTTAAAGTTTTTTTTTTATTTTTTATCTTTCGGTCATCTTTCGGTCCTTTGGTTTTAATATTTTTGTTTCAAAATTCAAATCATGGCTCTACACTTAAGGAGGCCTCCACGTCTAGAGCTGGGAACATAAGGAAACTGTGAATATTTTCAGTTATTACTAATTTAAAAGGTCTTTATTTATTAATTTGTCATGAATTATCAAAATTATCAAAAATTCATATTTTCCTTATGTGTGTGCTAAAGTCCTTAAAATGAAATTCTGTAAAGCATAACTGTACAATTGAGAATAGTAAAGGTTCAATGTATATACACATGCCCTGCCAGAGGGGGGTTGGTCAACTAGCTGGGAACCCAGGTGTTTAAACAAAAGGTGTTTATTATCAAGTTGACCAAGTGTCAACAGCTGTGTATATAGTGCATGTACACACACAGGGGTGCCTGTCTATCCCAGTACAAAACAACAGAGCTAGCTGAGGTGTGAATAATATTCTCACAATAATGTTACAATACCAACTGTACAAGGATTCACATATGCAACATGCACATTTTTATTATTTTTTAATCATAGTTTTTTATTTCATAGACCTGGATTCTAATAATTTCATTGTAATGGATACATGTTGCTTTCTCATATCAATGAGTATATTTTTTTCTATTACTTGCATAAAAAACATAACAAAACAAAACAAAAAACAAACCAAAAAACAAAACAAAAAAAACAAAACAAAACAAAAACAACACACTCTCCCCCCCCCCCCCCCCAAAAAAAAAAACAGAACCAAAAACATTAAAACAAAACATTATTAACTGGAAAATAATAATGAATGAATACTGAATTTAAAAATTAATTATTAAACATAGAAGAAAACATTTCAAAACAAACAGCTTAATTAAAAATTAAATAAATTAACAAATTCATTCATTAGTTAATTTAATTTAATTACATGTTATAAATGATTGGAATTTATAGAAATGACTTTATTTCTTGATTAATGCCTTATGGACTAGTTAAATTCATAAAAAAAATCAATTAAACATTGCACTGTAATGTCTTTCAACATGATAAATATTTCATACTTCTTTTATATTCTTAAGGTTTCCTTACAAATAATTTTTAAAAAAATAATATTCATACATAATATAATATTCATATTGATCAAGATTACAGTAATTATTTCCACGGATTACCGAAACGACTTCAGCGATCGCGAATTTAGATCGGGCGTGGTGTGCAGTATATCAAGACAAGAAGAAACCCGTCGATTCTGAGGTAAAATTGGCTATAAAAATTTACGGATGTCAATATCATTCAATTAAACATCACCTTAGGCCTTATAGTACCCCATTACATTAAATTTTATGGGGTTTCCACCACTTTATTGGGGTTTCACCCCTCCTGTATGGGTATTCTCCAAAAATCGGGGGGTTTCGGGTTTTTCCAGTTACCGGTGGAGAGGTCAGCGCATTTTTCAACATGGCGACCCGAAGACCAAAATATAATCAAAGTCTATTGTGTGTATTGATCTATTTGTTTACATTCACGTTTGATGTACAGACGGTGTCCGAGAATGTGAAGTGGTTAAAAAACATAAGTTCTGGAAGGCTGCAATTGAGAAATTTGGGAGAAAAGGATGATAAAGTATACACTGGGTTAAATGATGATGGGTATTTTCCTGACACAAGGCAGGAGACCCCCGACCCCTCAGTTCTGGGGGGAATCAGAATCAAACATGAAGCTCAAAAGCTCTCGGCACGACTCAGGTGGCTCAGTAATGAAGAAATTGGAATTACCAAAATGCAGGTGGGTTTTGTTCTAAAGATTTAGTTTTCTTATATTTTTTCGCCTTATAAAAAACTGTATGGGCTGCAATAATACACTATAATACTTTCTGCTGCACATTATTCATATCAATTTATCATGATTGATATGCACCTTAATAGTTTTGATTTATTTCTTCCCTAATAAAACAAAAAGTATGTTCATATTATCCATGCATTTGTTTTAAACAAATGCAGTGATTATCATTTATACATAAGTCACAGAAAGGATTAGAACTTTATACTTTGTTTTAAAAGCATTTAAATGTATGAAGTCGAGTATTAATTTTACTTTTAATGAATTAATAAGGTTTCAAGATGGGGTATTTTTACATTGCACCAAAGCTGGTATTGTCTACTAACATAATGGATGATGTCCATATTTCGAAATATCATCGAAAATTGTAATTTGTAAACCATGTTTTAACAAGAGTGAAGATACCCTTATAATATGACTAAAAAGATGAAAGCAAAATATGTAAAAATTGATGAAACATGTATGTCATCTTTTAGTTGTACAATAATTTGTTTCTAATACATTTTCCCAAAAATTGATAAAGTGTATTTTGTTTCCAGAAGTATATAAAGAATAAACCAACTTTTAGAGAAATTAAAAGTTTGTCACTAAAATTGTGATCAATTTTCAAAGTCCGTAACTTATAACATTGATAACATCATTAATTTTATGATATGAAAATTTAGAGATTTTAATTAATTCCTGTTGCAGTCCTTTTATTACATTGCAGTGTTCTTTTACTCTGCTATAGTTCTCATTCAATCATCAAAGAGTTTAAGTGACTATATAATAGTAATACATAATAGTATTCGCTCAATTTAAAATGTCAGTCTATATATTTGTTTTATTTTTTCATCTTTTTTTTTTTGGAGAGAGAGGTTTATATTTTTTAGTTTAATATATTTCAAAAAAGTAGTTCAAATTCTTAAATTTTTGTTTATCTTACAAATTTCATAAATATGCTTTGTATGTGAAATAAAATCTCATTGCAATAAAATGGCTGTAAGGTCATGTAGTAAAATGCACTTAAGTATTTTGAGATTGAGAAACAACCTATAATGCTGATTATGAAGTGTCAGATCTTCACAGTGCATGCACACAAGGTGTCTTGTAGATAGATGTCATTCAATATTAAGACAAGATTTTTTGTGTGTGACTTTGATGTTTTCAATACTGTTCAATACATTATCAAAGTGGGTCCATTTTTGTAGATAAAATTATTGAAATCAATTGTCACACCTAGAGGAATTAAGGTTTTGTTGACAAAGAGCTCAGGGTAGCTATAGGCAAATATTGGTTGAGAGTGGATTTAAAATAGTGATAGGATCTGAGTTCTTTATCTCCTACTTTTCTTGTT